ACAACTAAGGTTAAACAGCATTCCAGGCTAATTAAATTTTTAAATCTGCAAACATTGTTTTTACTAGTGTTACATTAATGAAGTAACAATATTTACAGTAAGCCATGTGTTTCACCAGTTATTTCATAGATGAAAGAATGCTCCAATATAATACAAGGCTTTATCTTAATGAAATCCTACACAAAATAGAGTTAATGTTATATTTTAAGACAGAAACAATTCAGAAACAATAAAGTAATTTTTATTTTAATACTTCTGCCTCCAATTGGCACAGCAGTAAGTCTATGGACTTTTAATGCTAGAAAATAGGTTTTGATACCTGTGGTTAGCACATCACAGATTGCCCATTGTGTAGCTCTGTGCTTAATTACAAACTGACACTTCTAATACTTATCTCATTTTTGAGTGATTATTGTAGCTTAATATTACAGGTTCTGCTTGCAGTCATTCTTTTCAAGCACACTTATTGTGTTATTGTTTCCAACCTGCAATGGTGATAAAAATTAACCAATTTGATTAATTCACCTAGATACTTTTTGTTGCTTAACAAAAAGAAATTAATGAAACATTAAAAACCGAATCAGAAAACTGTTGTGTGACTTGTCTGTTTGCACATCAACATTAATATAAATCCAAAGTTAACTTTAACAAAAATGGGAAATGTTACACTGTACAATTTTTTTAAGCAGTAAATAAAGCTGTTTTCCATATCTAATGAAATGCAAAATTTCTTCAATTATCATTATTACAAAATTGAGCTGTTTGGTTTACATTTAACCATGTCTGCCCGGGCATCATTTACTGTACATGTCATGAGGTTTTAATGGCTTATATTCAAAATTTTATTAAACTACCTTTTGTTTATGTTATACCAATTAGTATAGCATAAAACTGTAGCTAATAATACATATTTTAATAGTATATAAGTTTAAAGTTTTTAATTCTACAAGGCAATATTAAAAAAATCCTGAATTTCCAATAGTGTGACCCACGTGACACATTTTCTCTAACTATCCCATATTCTCTGTTTTATTCACCACCCCCTCCAATAAGTACAAGATTCAACATAAATTACTCACTGTAAAATCGTCATTACTCGGACAAACCATAATTTTTATAGCCTTCAAATTTGTTTGGTTACAGAGCCATCAAATAGAGAAATCAGACCCCTTTTGCCACACCTACCTGTCACATCCTCTCACTCAGGATTTGTTAATAGTTCTCTCTTACATTTAATTCTATTTTGTCTATAACCAATAGAAAGCCAAGGTTTTCATCTATCAAATGACATACTATATGACATTGTGTTATGAATAAAAAATTGTCAATTTATGTTTTTGTACAAGCTTTGTTCCCACTGGAAAGATAACTAACTTGGATGAATTTGTAATGACTCTTTTCACATAGCTAAAAAGGCAGAAAAGTTAATAATTAGAAAACATTGTCTTCTTTTGCATTTTTCTATGTTCTTTGGTACATTATTTAATTAAATGAAAATAATTTTGTGCATTACTACCATTAGTATTTACAGCCTTAATGCTTCATCACCTCAAAACCTGTTTTGAGGTTTCTCATGCTTCCATTATTGAAGATTATAACAAAAAGTTGAAGAAAGATCCTGAGTATCCTTGTTGCAGATGTGAATGACTGTTTTTTAGAAGTAACATAACAGAATTGACATTTACTGCAACAAAGTTTAATTCCAATATGTGGAATCAACTAAAGCAGTACATCATGGAAATTGATCTTGATGCAACAGACAAAGCTTTTTATGTGTGTGTGGTTACTGTCACCCTATCTTTACAAAATACCATGGAGGTGTATCTTGAATGCAATAATCACAGAACCTGTTCCTGATGAGCTTGCTAAACTCAATGCATTATAAAGACAGCTTATACAAAAAGCCAAGACATTTCAAACCATAGAAAGGTTTGGAACGTACACTGGAAAAATTACTAAGTATAATGCCCTAGAGTCAATCATTAACAAC